AGGACCCAGAACTGAACCCTGCGGTACCCCACATGTCAGATCCTTAGAATGTGACATAAACCGATTCGCAAAAACACTAAAAGATCTGTTGGAGAGTTACGACTGAAACCACTTCAAAGCCAGACCGGACACACCGACTACGTCCCGGAGCCTGTTAATCAGGATGGTGTGGTCAACGGTGTCAAAGGCAGATGTCAAGTCCAACAAAACCATGACTGAGGATGCTCCGGAGTCAGCTGACATCATAATGTCACTAGAGACTTTAAGTAATGCGGTTTCTTTTGAGTGACTTTTACGGAAACCCGACTGAAATTTGTCATAAATTTCATGTTTTTCTAAAAAAGTGGGAAGTTGATCTGCAACTACTTTTTCCAGAATTTTCGATAATAATGGAAGCTTAGAGATAGGCCTATAATTCTTAAGCTGAGTAGGATCCAAACTGCTCTTTTTTAATATCGGCTCAACAACAGCGTGTTTACAGAACGTAGGGACCACACCTGTTAAAAGAGAGGCATTGCATATCATTTAATATCAAATACATATCGACAAAGCAAAAAAAAGTCCTCTCTGATGTAGTGGCTGTTTTGGAACTGATAAGATGTCTTTTAAAAGTACTAAAAAGTTTTCAGTTAGTTCTTTATTCTTTTGATTTTTATTCTGTGTTTGTTTGTTTGCCTTTAAAAAGTAGTATTCTCTGTCTCTTGGTGTTATGTATTATTACATTTCCTGTTTGTATTTTTCTTGCTATTTGAAGTCATTCTTTGAGGTTATCTTTGGTTTTGGCTTCGTGTGTTCCTTAGTTAACCAGTATTTGCTTTCCTGGTTATTGAGCCCTTGTGTTAAAGTCTTGTTTACCTCCTTTTTTTTGTGGGTTCTTTATGGTTGATTTTCAAGTCTGGTTATTTGAGTCTACTATCCTAGTTTGGTCACTCTCACATTATCTTTTAGTTTGTTCTCTTTGTGTTTTTATTCACTTCCTCCTTCTGTCTCATCTTTGTCTTTCTACGCACACCTGTGTGATCTCTCTATCCTACCACTGTGTCGAGGTAATCCTATCCCCACTGCTGATTCATGTTGCACTTCCTGTTTTATTTTGGCAAGGGGCGTTCTCTGAGTCTTGTGCTGCTTTTAACTTCCACCCATCTTATTATGTCTCTAGCTGTGTGTCCCATCTGTTACCTGTTATTATTGCCTCAGTCTCCGCTTGTTCATTGTTGTGTCATCCCTCATAGCTGCGTGACACCCTAACATTCATCCTGCTCTGAGTTTCCCTGATAATACGTGCTTCCTGTTCATTTCTATCTTTTTGGATTCCCTTGCTTGGTTCCTTGTGTGTTCCTGGAATTTTGCACTTATGAGCATTACGTGTTTACTCCCGCGTCTTGTGTTTGGGTCCACAATAAACAGCTCACACAGCCGACTTATGACAATATGAAGTTGAGACATTGCTGGAGCAGTAATGTCTCAAAATCATTTTACCTCCTACCTCCACAAAAACACATTTTCATACATGGCTGCCCCATAACAGCGTGGCATTGATGCACAAGCTTCAACAGTGAAGCTCCTGTCATAATTCTCACCAACATCATTGTTGCAATAAAGTACAACTATGGGTTGCAATAACATGCTTCCACAAGCAAGCTGTGGGAGCTCTTTTTATGGGACTTGACTTTATGTTGTACACCTATTCCACAAAAACATTCTAACCTCTGGTCCAATGTTCCCCTCATCTCCTGGGGTTCCTGGTTTTCCAGGAGGTCCCTGCCAGACATGAACAGAAACCAGATAATTCACCAGTAAGGCCATGTACATGTGAGAAACAAAACATCAACATCTGTAGCAAACACATACAGGAGGTCCTTCTCTTGCTGGACCCTGGAAAGGAGACACAGAAGAAGGAACATTTATCACATCGTCGTCATTTAGTGTCATTTCCATATGCATATGTTGCTTTAAATGAGAATTCTTTCCACTTACAGCAGGACCTGGAGGTCCAGGAAAGCCAGGAAGTCCCTGTGATGGAAAGCAGAGAAAATCAGCACATTGTCAATTATTTCCTGTAAATCATGGATTTGAATGAAAGTAAATGTTGACTCACTCTCTCTCCTACAGGCCCTCTGGGACCCATTGGACCAGCTGAACCCTGCAGACAGTCAACATACAGTCAAATTAATGTGGCATCCTTACACACTACAACACAGAATGTTTGTAACACTTTTTAGCGAGCACATTTTTATCCTTAGCTTGAAACACATACATATATTTACACACACACGCACACACACACACACAGGCAGCACTGGCAGGTATAAAAAATGTGTGTCAGGTGTTTCCTACAGCAGGTCCTGGAAGACCAGGCAGTCCTCTCTGTCCAGGAAGACCGATCTCCCCCTGCTCTCCTTTGCTGCCCTAGGAAACAGACACAACAAGAATAAAACTGTTTTATCTTCTTCCTGCATCTTCCTGCCCCGTTGCTTAGATACACAGAGGCAGAGCCAGTCAACATTTAATCAATGAAAGGTGGGCCGCACTCGACGATCAACCGCAAGATGAGCTTGTGTAAGGCTATGTCAAAAACAAAGGAGGCGTGACTGTGAATGACAAAGGCACTGCTTAACATGAGGCCTTTATCTGAACCAGGCTTGTGTCTGCTACTTAGCACGGCTTTATTCCTAAATTTCTCTTTTAGCATAAATGCTAATATTTTAGTAGAAAGCCTACTCTTCTTGGGAAACTTAATTGTTGTACACTTTTATTACAAAGTCACAAAGACATCTCAGTTATTATTGAAATTGAATAATATTGTTATTATTGAATTATTATTGAAAGAAAACAGGGCATCATAGTCAAGATTTCACTGCTATATTAAGAAGTTTAGAGCAGCACATTAAGTGGCATTCACATCATATGAGAACTCCCACCCACGGTACCCACTGAGCACTCCCCCTTTTTTATTTTTGGCCATTCGTTTAATGGAGGAAATTGGTTTATTTGTGACAAAGCTACTTGTGATCAAATTAAACTGGTAGAAGAAAGATAAGTATACTGCAACACCAAGACAATCAAGAATTCAATTTTATTCATATAACCCCAAATCACAACCGTAGCTGCCTCAAGGCGCTTCCTAGTGTCAGGTAAAGACCCTGCAATAATACGAAGAAAACAGACAAAACCCCAAAAAGCAAATGAGCCCCTGGGGGTGTCCAAATTCATAGGCTGCATCCTCCTGAGGACCTGGCCTTCACGGTCTACGTGGGCCGGATCCTCCGAAGGTTGGGTAGGCCGGAAGTGAGCGGCTGCAAAATTGGACGTCAGCAGCTGTCTCGCTCCTGCATCTTTCTATCTAAATTATAACAGGACACTGGCGTAAATTCTCGATCATTTCACACTTCTGTTTAATCAGTTTTCTGTTTGACGTTTATTCAGTTTTCTGTTTGACGTTTATTCAGCTGTGTTAAAACTATAACTTTAATCTCAGCCAAACTGATTTACTCACGAACAAATAAAACACTGAAAAAAGCCCAACAATAACATTTTTAAGTTATCTAAGTGACTTATATATTATGTTTAACCTGAGTAGCAAAAGACTGTGGGGGTTTGAAAATGATGTGCCGGGAGTTTGGTGTTCTCGCCCCAGCTAGCTATCGAGCTGGTGGGTAACAGACATCTCCGAAAACATCGGAGCACTTTTGCAAATATGCGATATTTTGATAAACCAAGCAGATATTTGAAGTTTACACAGCTACATTCTTGCCTAAAAATATCTCAGACTCAGAAAGAGTAATAAGAGTAATATTAGAACTAAGCAGCTGATGCCATTGTTGGAAACTGGAATTGGCTGGGCCGCACTATGATTTCTGGGATATGGTGGAAGACGAAGGACACACCCGACCCATCCTTCAAATCTGGGGAAAAGGAGGACGCATTTGTCAGCTGCATTTGGAGGAGTCTTCGAATTTGGACCGCCTTTGTTGAGTCGCTGTGACGTAATCGGCCTGTAAATGCGGCGCCAGGAGGATGCAGCCCATGAATTTGGACACGAATTTGGACATGACCTAAGTTTTAAAATTACTCAAACAAAGTTTGCAAACACTTGCAAACACCCCCCCCCCCTATGAGAACACGCTTGGCGACAGAGGGAATAAAAAACAGGAAGAAACGTCTGTGAGAGGCAGCCATATGGCGCAGCCTGTCATGGCCTGGGCCTAGGGACCCAGGCCTCATGTCTTTCTGTATTTATGTCTATTTTTCCGTATGTAGTGTTTTGTTGTTGTGTATCCTTTTTCCTCCGTCTCCCTGTGTGTGTTTATGTTCATTCATATTCCTGGATGTTTTGGGTTGCTGAGGGATTGCGACCCGGAAGTGTTCCCACGCTGGAAGCTGCCACACCTGCCGCTCGTCAGCCATCACCAACTGCAGCTGATGGCCTCGTTAAGAGCGCCCTATTTAAGAGTGTGGCTGAGCTCCAGTCAGCGCTGGATCCTGGAGTCAAAACTCGTTTAATCCTGCTAACCTGAGTGCGTTTGTGTGTTACTGGGAATCAGAGAGCAGAGTGCTTTTGGAGTCACGGTGTTGGGAACAGGAGTTCTTGGAGTTGCAACTTTTCACCTTTCATGGACATCTGCACTATGTGGGATTCAGGGAGAATCGCCACGGGGCCACAGTGCTGGGATTTGTATATAGCCATGTTGTTTTTCCACTCACTGTAAATAAATCCACTGTTCATTATAAGATTATAATCTGTATTTTGGGTCCTTTTCACTGCTACTCCACAGTCTGCCATCGCATTCTGCGACACTAACCTATTTACCCTCTTAATATCCAACAGATCTCTAGCATTTGGGTTTTGCTATGTTTAGCCATATGCTAACCAACCACATCTTCAGAAGATTAGAAGTTAAAGTAGAAGCAGTAGATGCATTTTGGCCTGACAACTCTTAGCTTTTTAATTTGGCTGTACCAAACAAGAAAAACATCCACAAAAAACTTTATGTTAACCCAAGTTGACCCTTTTCCTGTTGAAGCCTCTTGGATATTAAGTATTTATGAACACAGGCCCTTGTCAACAAAAAATAAGATGTAACACGTGCCTTTAAGTTCGTAACTTACCAAGCTGCACTGTGCATGTTTTTCAAAAAAGCAGAATTGACCTAGTAGCTGCTGATTTCTACAGCGTCACTGATGCTTTCCATTTGAAATCCAGACTTTTGTCTTAAAGAGATTTATACTGATATTCCATTTACATTGTATTTGAATTAAAGTCCAATGTTTTGTTGACCCATTCATCCACACCAACCTCTTCTCTATGTCACCTCCCATTGCTGTTGTTAAGAGATAATTCTAACCACTGTGTGCACTGTTAAAGTTAGTATATATGAACAAGGATGGATTGTAATTAAGGAGCAACCTCCAGGGTGAAAAAAAAAGAAGCCTTAGAGAAAGATCCAAAAACTGCAACTCCTCTAACAGCCACTTGAGGCTAGAGTCCTGTAATTCAAGAGGTTAGAGGCCCTGATAAAGTATCAGGGTTTCAGACTGACTTTGGGTTCCTGTGTGTTCACAAGGCTTTGGTCATGTTACACTTTCAGTGTAGGAAACTTTGCCAGAATAACTGTTAGCTGTCAGTGACCGGGTGGATGTTCTGAAGTTAATTTACCCAGATTATTTCAACACTCTCTCACTGGAGACACACTACAGAAGTAACAGGATTGGTCTACAAAGAAGTGTTATCATAGTAAGCAATGCCGAGTCATATTGTGTCAGACAAATCTGTTTTGAAACTGTGTAACTGAGCCGCGACATGAATCATTTCCCTGGGGTATCATATGACAAACAAACACGTTGAGAGGGAGAACGCAGCCTCGAGGTACGTCGTCAGTAAATCATTTTGCGTTTAATACTCACAGGAGCGCCAGGACTGCCAGGAGGCCCTGGAAGACCCTGGAGAGATAAATAAAAGAAGTCAAATAAGAGAGAAAAATACTCACTCTGTGCTAATGGAAGTAGGAAATACTTACATCTCTTCCATCTCTGCCATTTTCTCCTGCTGGTCCTCGGGGGCCCTCTGGGCCAGGGGTACCTGGGGGGCCTGGGATTGATTTTTCAGGCTGACAGAAGAGACAAACAGACAATTAGCATATTATCACAGAAAACATGAGAAATGCTAGATAACTGAATTTAAATGTTCAACCTAAACACTTGTGTAGAACAGAAGATAAAGTCTTTTTCAGCATAAAGGCCTCTTCTTCACAGATTTAGTTATAATCTATGGAAATTATCTCTGTGCCACCTGGTTTTAAGTTACTTCTGGGCACATGATTTGATGTACAAATGTAAGAATGGTCAACCTATGCAATGCTAAAAACAAATAATATCACCACCATTTATTAGATATAGAACAAAGCATTAAGGCAATTAGGCAACTGAAGCACTGAAACAGATTATTGGTTTAAAATCACAAAGCAAAAAGAAAGTAGAGATGAAAAATAAATACCTCAGCATTGGCATACATCTGAAGAAGCAAGAGAAATCAGATAAAGGGAGAGTTAGTGAAAGTAGTCACACCACCCTCACCAAAAGTGTCAGCAAAAGCGCTCTGGTTCACAACAACGGCAGTGAGTGATGTCATGCTGTCATTTAAATACAAAAGCCCCGTAAACAGTACCCACACTCCCCGTGTTAGCCTGAGAGCTAATAGAGTGCACCAGGGCAGGAAATGAGTCTGTCCACAGGGTGTACAATCAGTCACATTTTGATGAAAGTAATTGAATTAAAAAAATAAAAACAATTCTCACTAATCCTAATTCATTGCACGGCAGAGTTCACAGAGCACGAAATGTGAGACTGCAGAGTGGCATTTTCATCGCAGGCAGCCATCTCATTAATCACAGTAGAAATGAAACATAATATTTAATTAGAAATTAAATTATAAACAGAGAATAACTGGGACACATTGTTGAGGCAGAGAGTAATATTCCCGGGGTTGGAAAACTTAGTGAAAATTGAATCAACTGCACAAGGAGTAACTATTCCTATACTTTAGTTTTATTTTTACGTATACGTTTTAATTATGCTTTTAAAAAGAACAAACAAACAAAACCCCTCTTTCTTGCTACATCCTGTACATCAGATTTTCAGGAGAGAAAAAAATCACACTGATGATATAATAAAGGGCTCAAAACCTCATGTATCAATTACGATGCACTTGGTGTAACAGGGTTAAAGTTACCCCTTTTCCGCTAATAAAACTGCATAAAGATGGCTGTTTGGTTCCTCCATTAAATACATACATTTGTTTTAAGGCTGTTTTTCACCTATTGAAGTTAACTCCCCTTTAAATATTGCAGTTAACTGTGGATATGCTTTGCTAACCAAGTTAGCT